TTTTTTTCTTCTTCTTTTTTTTTTTTTTTTTTTTTTTTCTTTTCGTAAAGTGTTCGACAACCTTCCTCGATTTCTCTGAAGCACTTGTGCTCAACGTTCAACAAGAAGTTCTCCCAGCAACTATTACAAACTATTACAACCAAATCTTACGTATTCTCACTGGCTATTACAAGCGTATCGTTTACGAATCGTTTCCTATCGATCGGATGTCACAGCACAATATGAATACTGTAATACTACTGAACACAGTGTAACACTAATATCTGCTGTTGGAACGGTGCCGACGTAGAATATATACGGTTCCTTGTCGAATGCGAATAATAGAAATCCACTTTTATCTATAAATTGCGCGACGAGTGCCAATTTGCCAACTTGAGAGGGCCAACCAAAGATATTTGATATCAATCGACGACGAAAGGATTGGTACGTTTCAACTCTCTCGACTTTATTCGCGCTCGTGTTGAGAAAAAGAGAAGCGAGCATAGCCAGAAAATAAGCGGAAGAGGCGCGATCCGCGGCCTTTTTTCTCCTCGCGATGCTTGGCGATCGAACGAAAGACCAAGAAGAAGAAAACGAGAAACAGAGTAATTATCGTTTGACGCGGTGCGTCGTACGCTGTGTCAAATCGGTCCCGCGTCTCGGCTCGCCCTCGATCTGACGCGGAGGCCAACTTGCGCTCTCGACTCGCCGCCATTACGCCGCGCGAGTAATTCAACGGGCGAGGGGGGGGGAGGGGCGAGTCGCGTTAAGAACATAGTGAGGTAATACACGGATACAGGCGATAAAACACCGAACTATGATCGAACCGAGGGGCGGCTAGTCAACGCATGCTATTGCTATTGCCGCAACACGTGGCGAATCGATGATATTATAGTTTCTGTTTGTTTTTTTCTCTTTTTTCTTTTTTCCTTTTTTTTTTTTTTGTTTGTTGCAAAGATAAGTACACATTCCTTCCTTGTTTTCTGGTTTTATTCCGCCGTGGCTCATTGTCAATTATTTGATGGAACCAAGTATGCGTTAAGTGTAACCGATATACAACGTTGGAACTCTTTGCAAGCACTTGAAGAAAACAAAATGATATAACGTGTCGAGAAAATCGAATTCTAGTATCTGAACTTTTGACAGGTACTTGTCATTTAAATGAAATCAAGAGTACGTGAAGAAGCTGCCTAAATTGATAAAGTCAATTATTTCAATTGAAACGATTAAAAAAAGCATTGACACGTGTATATTTCGGTATATCGATTGTGAATTTTTTTCTTATCCACGAAAAATTTCTCATTCTGCTCTCGGCGAAAAGCAAAGACAACTAATCCATGTAACGTTTATGGTAATCGTGCGAAAGCCGATGACTTTAAATTTGTTAGCTTATAACTTTAATAAGCTTATGTGACAACGGATATCCGAGCGAACTTCCAGGATTCGATTACTATTTTTAAGTAGTTGACATTTATCGCTACTTTTTAAGCAGTTTACACTTATCACTACTTGTAAGTAATTTGTACCATTACATTCATTCAAACGTCAGTGTATTCACAAGTACGAGTACATGTTCCACCTGGTTTGAAACCAGGATGTACATTCTGGATTTATAACTGTGTAAGTACATAGAATTGAACATCGATCGAATCCTATTGAGCGAACATTTTTTTTCTTTTTTCTTTTTCTTTTTCTTTGTATTAGGTTTAACTTGATTACTCGCGAGTACATATTGAACTTGATCCCATCACTAATTGTACGAGTAATAGACGTGTATGCAATATTCTATTCGCAACTTTCCTACTTTCTCTCCCTCTTTCGTTCGCTCTCTGTGTTGATCTTTCGAAAAATCGGAATCTCAATCGAACACGCGAGCATGTTAATATACCTTAAAAATGAATTCTGCGAATTCTTCGCAACGACAAACATCGAGGAAACAGCCATTTTCTACGCGATCTTTCAAAGGAAAAGAATTCGAGTTCGTTGAAACATGTCACAC